TACCAACTTCTGTCAATGAGATGAAAGAATTCATATGGGCTTGATCTGTCGGATCGCTACCAGGGATTGGCACTGCAAAAGGCATAGATTTCCTTTTCCTGTTCAACCACTGGCGAAGATTTGTTGCACAAGTGTTGCAGCATATGTGTGGGGCCCACCTCTTGTCCTGATTTCCAATTTTGCAGTCAAAATAAAGGTGATAGGCTTTTTTAACCATAGTGGTTATACTGCGCTTTTGTGATGCAAAAGTCACTTCACCACAAACATAGCAGAAGTTATCTTCACTGTTCACACAAGTACGAGGCATCTCTGCTCACTTTGGCTAAACAGAAATGTGTCCCTTTGCAAAATCAAACACGGACAAATAAGAGAGCACGACACTGTATGATTTCTAGAGCTGATACAGGGCAATTTGTTCGTTATGATTGCATCATCCATGACTTCTAGGAATAATATGATGCAATTCATATCATGTATGACGCAATACCAGCTTCAGATTGCATCATTCATTGTTTTGCCTAAAAAGCAAGTACTGTCCAAACCCAGTCATAGATTTATTCATAGATCCAGTCAAAGACTTATTTTAGTCATTTCTGGTTTAAATTGAGATCCCTTCCCTTTATAACTCACTTATCCTCCGCCATTCCCAAGTCAAAGGTCGTATATACTGACCCAATAGCATATCTTGAAAACTAGAGCCAATCAACAATTTTAAGCATCATTTTCGTTCTCAGTGACCCAGAATTAGTAAAGTTTGACGACATTTATTTCAGAAGCATTTTGGCTGTAAAGCAGTGTTACAGTAGGAAAAGGCCATGAGAAAATAGATAGTTTCTGAAACTGTTACTATCTTTCCCAACTCTGAGAAGACGGTGGGTGAGTAGTAATCCAATCAAATGATATTTTCAGAGAAGCATAATTATAGGTGAGTAATGCTCTTCTGTAAAGATACCTAATGATTACTTTTCTGTTTTTGGAGACTACAAATCCATAAATTCTCCTCTCACGGAAGAACAAAGCAACCATCCAAGGCAGTTTCATGTTATATTTGGGGAGAAACATGGGGGCACATGAAGGGAAAACTTTTGATGAAAGTAAAGTCTCTCTATATACCACCACACCCTAACTTCTGAAATATTTTCTCTTTAGCATATCAAAAGTAACGTGTTTTAAATTTACTTAAATTAGTTAATATGTAAATTCCTTGCCAATACTATGTTTAAATTTGTGTTTCACATAACATAATGGAGTTTCATTTATGCATGTTGGAGGAAACTGACTTTTCCATATTGGTTGTAATGTAATTCCATTTTTGTTTTAGAATATCTTTTTGCACATTCTGGATATGTCTAATCCCAAGGGAATTTGGGAGTTTGCTGAAAAATTCAAGGCTGAACATAAGTTAAATGTCTTGGTAAGTTTGCAAGTTTAAATTGTACCTCTTTTGGAGTCTCTCATCTGTACCTCTCCATTCAATAGTCTAACCTCTCTAATTCTGCAGGCTTAATTTGTGTATAATCCTGCTGCAAAAATAATCCACCTAGTCCACTTCTCTGATCTTGTCCAGCCCCTTTTCATATACGTAACTTTGATACGGAACACAAGAGAAATCTATCAAAGCTCCTTGTTGCAGCCTTCAAGGCCCTGCACAGCTTTGCTTCCGCATGCCTCTTTGCTCTCATTTCCTCTTACTTCCTCTTTCACTCCACGGAAACAGCCTGGCGAATTCCCTTATTATTCTACTCCCATTCTCCTGTCTGATGATTGGTTGGCCCAGAGGAGACCAAAGGCAGAGATGTCTAAAGCCCTAGTTTTGCACCAACGTCCATATAGATGGATCCCGGCACAGAGCCCTTTTGACTTCAGTAGAACTTTGCATGGGTGCATAGGTCTATCCAAATGGATGCAGTTGCAGGATCAGGGCCTAAGTTAGTGCAACTTACCTGGAAGGTGGTGTGTATTTGTGTGGAAGGCGAGGGCAGAGTATAGAGGTAAGTGGGTAGTGCCTCTAACTTGACACCTTTTCATGCTCTCTTGTTAGCTCTTTCTCTTGCTCCTCCTTATCCTTACTTCTGAGTTTGGCCCAAAGAGAAGGAGGATGTAAGCAATAAGGGGTGGCATGGAAGAAAGCAAAAAGATTAAAGAGTAAGACACACAGACGCATCAAGATGTGTACATGTCTGCTGAGTGACTATGATATCTTGTCATCCTTATCCTTCCCATCCATTTCTGTTCATGTTTATATCTTGACTTTAGTAAAGCTTTTGATACTATCTCATATGACCTTCTCACAAACAGACTAGAGAAATACTACCTAGATGGAGCTACTATAAGGTGGGTGCATAACTGGTTGGAAACTGTTCCTAGAGTAATTATCAGTGGTTCAGTCATGCTGGAAGACCATTACAAGTGGGGCTCCGCAGGGATCAGTTCTGGGTCCAGCTCTGTTCGCTATCTTCATCAATGATTTAGATAATGGCCTGGGGAGTACACTTATGAAGTTTGTGGACAATACCAAGCTGAGAGGGGTCGCAAGTGCTTTGGAGGATAGGATTATAATTCAAAATGATCTGGACAAACGGGAGAAATGGTCTGAAGTAAATAGGATGAAATTCCATAAGGACAAATGCAAAGTACTCCACTTAGGAAGGAATAATCAGTTGCACACATACAAAATGGGATTGACTGCCTAAGGAATACTGCGGAAAGGGATCTGTGGGTCATAGTGGATCACAAGCTAAATATGAGTCAACATTGTAACGCTGTTGCAAAAGAAGTGAATATCATTCTGGGATGTATTAGCAGGAATGTTTTAAGCAAGACACGAGAAGAATTCTTCCGCTCTAGGTCTCAACTGGAGTATTGTGTCCAGTTCTGGGCACCACATATCAGGAAAGATGTGGACAAGCTGGAGAAAGTCCAGAGAAGAGCAACAAAAATGATTAAGGGTCTAGAAAACATGACCTATGAAGGAAGATTGAAAAAAAGTAGGTTTGTTTTTTTTCTGGAAAAGAGAAGACTGAGAGAGGACATATGTTTTCAGGTACATAAAAGGTTGTTACAAGGAGGAGGGAGAAAAATTGTTGCTCTTAACCTCTGAGGATAGGACAAGAAGCAATGGGCTTAAATTGCAGCAAGGGCGGTTTAGGTTGGACATTAGGAAACACTTTCTAACTGTCAGGGTGTTAAGCACTAGACTAAATTGCCTAGGGAGGTTGTGGAATCTACATTATTGGAGATATTTAAGATCAGGTTAGACAAACACCTGTTAGGGATGGTCTAGATAATACTTAGTTCTGCTTTATGTGCAAGGGAGTGGACTAGATGACCTCTTGAGGTCCCTTCCAGTTCTGTGATTTTATAACCTTCATTACTGGTGTCTTCTGGAATACAGCCCTTGGGATGGGGCTGTGTCTTATTGTTCAAGCACCTGGAACAATTGCTGGTGCTAATAGAGTGTGACAATCACAAATGGAGTATTTGGAAAGGGCAGGTTGGGGGCAGGGTTGGGTCTGGCTTTTTTGCCACCCCAGGCAAAAAAGCCTCCCACCGCCCCCGACCCCGGAGCGCGGCAGGGGAGGGCGGCGAGCCCGGCCGCGGGCCCCGCTCTCCCCGGCCGGCCGGAGAGCCGCCCCCCCTTGAGGTGCCGCCCCCAAGCACATGGTTGGAGGGCTGGTGCCTGGAGCCGGCCCTGGTTGGGGGAGTAGCAGGAAATGAGCAGAGAAGTAGGTAGGAGCAGTTTTCTCTGGGATCTTGGTGGGGAGGATGAGAAGCTTGAACTCAAGACAGAAGGTGAGATAAGCCAGTACGGGGAGTCACACTGAGAAAACACACATTACCTGCACAGCACTTATTAGTTTTTAACCAAAACATGGTAAAATGTTAATGACTTTTCACTGGTAAGAAAAATCAAACTTAGAATATATAAATGCATAGCTGTGATGATGTGGAGTCATTTGGATCTTTAAGATGAAATTGATAAACTACCATACATGCTTTTTTATTGTAATAGTTATGTTCTGCGAATCACACATTACTTCATAGCTTTTGGCCCTTTTGCACACAAACTAGTAAGGCACCATGATGTCTGATGGCACTTTATAATCTTGTTTGTTCAGTTAATTTTATCAGCCTGATTTCAATGAAATGTATTACACTTCCTTGTGAAGATGGTTTTCACACAGCAGCTTCACTGTAAGTGGCGGATTATGATAGCTGGAGTTGCAGTTTGCACACCCCGGTGCATTGAAACAAGTGTATGATTGTGTGTATGTGGCTTTTTTTTTTAATACTGAGCTGTGTCTTGCAGATCAACAATGCAGGCTGCATGGTAAACAAGAGAGAACTAACAGAGGATGGACTTGAAAAGAACTTTGCTACAAATACCTTGGGTGAGTACAGCAGTCTTTAGATAAGAGTCTAGGGTACTCCTGTGCATCTTTTTTGTGTTTGTTTTGTTTATAGAAAGGTATAGTCTCATGTAGTTTTGCAGGATATGTTTTCTTGCATTGAGAGAGTAGGAGGATTAGACATTGTATTGCAAAAAATGTATAACTTGTACAGAAGGTTTGTACTTCTCAGGTTTCTCCCATATGCAAGATATTCTCATATTGACCCCATTGTTTGTTCGTTGCTCTGAGAACAGCATGTAGCTATTAAAGCTAGTTAAACCATTTTGAAATTTCAGTGGAAAATTTTCCAATTGGCTCTGCTAATGATACTCTGTGTAGTGCCTTTTTTTGCAGGATCTGCAAGATGCTCTAACAACTGTCTTGGGGTTCAGATGGTTCTTACAACATTCAAGTGTGGTTTTTTTTTATTATAAAGATGACACATTGGTATTGTGGTAGCACCAAAAAGCTCCAGTTGACATCAGGGCCTCAATGATACAGAGCGGTACAAAAAATCCACACACATAAAAATAGGTAAAGGTTGGAGAGAAGGGATGCAATACGCGGGCAGAGGGACGGGGTAATGCTTGGCAAAGGCCATGAGAGTCATGTGGTGTTTAATACATTAGGGCGAACTGGTGGGGGGGGAACGTAGGAGGGCGGACAGAGTGGGGTGAGTGGAAGGGGGGGGGCACTGAGGATGAGGGGCAGAAGAGGTCTGAGCAAGCAGGCAATCATCAGAGGGAAATGTCCAGATTTTAAATGAAGAAAGTAGTCATCACTGCCGTTCAGAGGGCTGCAAAAATCACTCCTGCAAAAGGAAGCGTTGGATAGTAAGTGCTTTAGTGGCAGCTGGCAGGGACCATATTTTTTATTCTGTTTGTACAGAACCTAGCACTACAGGATCCTGGTCCCTGATTAGGGCTCCTAGATACTACAGTTATACAAATAATGAATAATAAGCATCCCTGGTGGTTGACTGTGCCAGGAGTTCTGTGTCCCACCCTCCAAACCCCCATTGGTAGGGAATGGAGTTGGGTGACTTCTGGGCCAACCAGATAAGGTCACCTGCTCGGTTCTGGATCTAAGGGGTTGGAGGAAGCGCGCCCTGGCTGGGACTTACTGTTAGCACTGTTGCTGCTCTGTTTCTCTGGCTCCTGCTTACGTTTTTGAAAATCAACATTTGGGCAGCAATGTCTCATACTTGACTGGCATGTCAATGAGATTTTTGGTTTTGTAAGTCTGATTACATTCATTTGGTTAACATTTTTCAAAAATATTGGAGCTGATGGAGGGAATGCATTTTTCTTCAGCTACACTTTCCATACTGTTTGTGCTCAAAACTCAAAGCAGGTTTTGTTATTTCTGCTTCAGATTTGCCCTGGATCTACTCTATAATAAAGAATAAAAGCACCTCTGACCTTCCTGAAGAAATTGTCTTTCAGTTAAACTAGTTTAAACCCCTTGCACTTTTTCAAACAGTTCAGTAATTTACTAGGATGTAGTGGCTCCAGGTACAAGCACACTGAAGCAAACACAGCTGTTTGAATGTGAAGTTACTTTTCATTTTTTTAAACCGCAAACTAATTGCCATAAAACACATTAGTGCATCAGCTAGTATAGATTTGTATCACACACAAGTAGAGTAAACTGCAAACTAGAAGTCAACCATACAGCATAGATTCTAGTTAACATTTAGGGCTGGTCTACACTGGGGGGAGGGGGGAGATCGAATCGATCCAAGATACGCAACTTCAGCTACGTGAATAGCGTAGCTGAAGTCGAAGTATCTTGGAACGAATTAACTGGGGTCCAGACGGCGCGGGATCGATGGCCGCGGCTCCCCCATCGACTGCACTACCGCTGCTCGCTCTGGTGGAGTTCCGGAGTTGACAGCGAGCGCGTTCGGGGATCGATATATTTCATCTTAATGAGATGCAATATATCGATCCTGGATACATCGATTGCTACCTGCCGATACGGCGGGTAGTGAAGACGTACCCTTACAGTGCAGAATACAACTGTACATATGTCCAAGAGGCTGTGAATTATGGTGTCTGAGGGCACTGTAACTCTGAATTGCCTGTATTTTTGTGGAAATTGGAACCATGCATCCATTCTTTTAGGAATTAGTAGTGTTTAAAATCTTGCCTTACTTGCAAGGCATCTCATCTATCTTCCCTTAGTGACCTGCTTCTGCCTTATCTCATCTGTCCCTCTTAGGTCAGGTCTAATGAAGCGGTCTACTGGTAATACCTGTGTAATTGTGCAAGACTTTGGGACATGACAGGATTTAAACACTTTGCAACATTTTAGAGCCAAGTCAGTGTGCCAGATCTGATATCTAGATAACATGTACATCGGTTGTGGCATTGTCTGCCTTGGGGTCTAAAACATTGTGAAGTCTTTAAATCCAGGTTAGAGACATTTCCCCTTCTCTTATTTTTTTAGAGTCCTGGACGTATTGCATAAAGGATACTAAAAAAATTTTTATTTCTAATTGAAAACAGGGCCTCTAAGGGCATGCATATTTATTTATATATACAGTATATATAAAAATAAAAATATTGGCTACGGTAGAAAGAAAAGGTTTTGCACTATATTCCTTTTCTCTCTCCGTTCCTCATTGGAAGATTTTTTTTTTTCTTCTCACCAAGTTGTTTTTAAGAAGTAAGGCTTTAATTCTAATTCAGTTCATGTGCTATACTTTGTTAGAAAATGTTAAGGCACAGCAGGTGTGTGAAGCAAAAGAATTACTATTCCTTAGTAAAGAGCTCTGAGTCACTGAAAGTGATCCTGAGGAGAATAGAGAAGTCCCCAAATTGTATTATCTACAGTTTTTGTGCAGTGGTAGTCCAAGTAAGAACTTTCTAGTGTTTAATAAAAAAAAAAAGAATGGACAAGCAAACTGTTTTATGCTGGATACTGGGATGTTTGAAGTCTGTCTTTGCAGTGTAGTATCATGCCTGTCTATTACATAATCCGGCTTGTGATTGGCTTGTCAGACTTTTCCAGATTTGTATTGTTAATGTTAAACCTTTTCTGTTGAGGAAAATAGGGTAGTCCTGTAGCTCTTTATTTCTATAAATGTTCATGGCAGTTTCATGAACAAACACGACGTGATCCTTGCTGCAAAGACCTTTTGACCGAGGGGCCTGAATTCACATTTCATTGTGACTGTTCCTAAGTAAGGCCTGATCATGTGAATATGAATTTCTAGAATTGGCCCTACTTTTATACATGAGTGAAAGCTGGCAGGGCAAAGGGAAATAGGGTGTGTCGGTGGGCAGAGTGCACACATGCACACAATTGGATTTTGTGTCTTGATGGCTTTTAAAAAAAAAAAGTTTCTAAGCTAAAATCGTTGATTGTAAGCTTGTGGGCAGGGACCATGTCTTCCTCTATGTTCATCTAGTACAGTGGAACTGTGGGCACTATCACAGTAGAAGTAAATACTGTGTGGTTCATTGTAGTTGTATAGCTGTTATTGCTCTTAATACCTCGCCCCTTGTTACCAGCTAGACCACAAAGAGTTAGTGCTGTGTTTACTGGAACTTAATTGAAGTAGAAGAATTGGAGAATGATCAATCTGTAGTGACTGCTGTGCAGCTATGTAGAATTAATACTGTAGTATAGAAACCGCAATTAACAAGTCACGTTGATTTGCTGAGATTGTATAGATGGTAGGGGGCAGTTCAAAATGGTTTCTTGTGTAGCAGCATATGTACATGGAGAACTCTTGTTGCTTTTGTCCTTTGTCTCAGATGTGGTTGAGCTTAAATCTCATTCTAGAGGTTGGTGTGGCTATTTTGTCAAGGAGCTGCTGCAGTGATTTCTTCAGATGTGACATCTAGGCTTTCTAGTCAGCATTTGCCTTTTTGAAGCCAGCCTCTGCAAGATGATTATCCCAGCTGACAGTGTTCAATCCATCTGTATAAAAGCTGTCAGTGGAGGCAGATGGATAGAGGACTCAGTACTGTTTGCTTGTGGGTGCATTAAAGATAATCTTTCACAGTTGAAACAAGGCCTGTAAAGTACTGGAACAAGAGAAGTTCTTTCTTCATTTTTACATGTCACATCTCTTCACTCCAATATCAGAAAATAGTACATCTATTCATTTTTATTGGTACTTACTGGCAGAGGGAGCACTAAAACACACTGGGAGCTGAGAGGAGATGATCATAGAATACAGTATGTCTCCATTCCTCACTCCAACTGAACCTAAACCCTCTTGCTTCACGACCTTTTTTTTCTTTTTAATTTAATCATAGAATATCAGGGTTGAAAGGGACCTCAGGAGGTCATCTAGTCCAACCCCCTGCTCAAAGCAGGACCAATCGCCAGACAGATTTTTACCCTAGTTCCCTAAATGGCCCCATCAAGGATTGAACTCACAACCCTGGGTTTAGCAGGCCAATGCTCAAACCACTGAGCTATCCCACATAGACAATCTTACTAGTTCAAGCCACATCCTTTTCCCAGTGTTCAACCAAAATAATGGGTAGGGCATGGGGAAGGATCTTCCTCTCAGGCCCTAGAATGCAGCACAGCTCTTCAACGGTAACTACTTTAGCCTCCGTCGCAGTTTGCAAACCCCTTTCTCCCCCGTATGGGTCTGGCTAGTGAATCATGGGAGTCCGTGCTGCCTAGTGGTTAGGGCGCTAGACTATTTGGACTCAGGAGATCCCAGATCTGTCATTGGTCTGCTGGGTGACATTGGGCAAGTCACTTCCTCTCTTTGTGCCTCCATTTCCACATCAGTAAAATGGAAATACTTGCCTGCTTTTTTTAAAGTGCTTTGAGATCTACAGATGAAGTCTTGTATTAGTGTTGTTACTAATCCAGATACCTGCAAATCCACTGGCTGTATTACCTCCCTACATATCAGGGCAGAGAGAGCCCTTACTAAGCACAGCTTTGTGGTATAAAGGAAGTGGCGATGAGAATATTCTCATGTACAGTGTTGCATATTCTATTCTGGTGATCTTCAAGTTTTTAAG